AACCATAATCTAACTTACCTGGTGTTGATCAAAGGTTGACTACTGGACCATCAGGAGTGTGAGTCACATCTTATGGTCCGTCCACAACAATAAACTTTCCCCCCCCCTCATCCATCTACCAACCAATCATAGACCTTCACCAGCTGACAACCCTCTCTAACTACTGAACAAGCCATTACCAGTAGTTACACTGTTCGCTTACTAGTTATACCAAACAATAACATTCGAACAAGCTCACAGCACATTATATATTTATACATAATAGTTAAATAAAAAAATACAGGTATTAATAATTTTTTTCAACAAAACATTAAGGTAAATATATTTCTACACTAACTTTTTCTCTTTATTCGTCATTAAGTAGAAACACCGATAAAATTTCGGGGGGTTGAAGGGGAGGTTGAAGGGTTGAAGAGTTGAAGGAGGAGGTTGAAGGGAGGGTTGAAGGAGGGTTGAAGGAGGAAGGGGGGTTGAAGGAGGGTTGAAGGGAGGTTGAAGGGGAGGAGGGTTGAAGGGAGGTTGAAGGGGGTTGAAGGAGGGGTTGGGAGGAGGGTTGAAGGGGAGGGTTGAAGGGGGAGGGTTGGGGGGTTGAGAGGGAGGGGTTGGGGAGGGGTTGAAGGAGGGGTTAAGGAGAAGGGGGTTGAAGGGGGAGGAGGGGGTTGAAGGGAGGGGTTGAAGGGGAGGGTTGAAGGGGAGGGTTGAAGGGGAGGGTTGAAGGAGGGTTGAAGGGGAGGGGTTCATTGTTGTGATTAGCATGGTTCAATACAGTGGTTCTAACTCGTGGTTCAATACAGTGGTCTAACTCGTGGTTCAATAGAATGGTACTAACTCGTGGTTCAATACAGTGGTTCTAACTCGTGGTTCAATACAGTGGTTCTAACTCGTGGTTCAATAGAATGGTTCTAACTCGTGGTTCAATACAGTGGTTCTAACTCGTGGTTCAATACAGTGGTTCTAACTCGTGGTTCAATAGAATGGTTCTAACTCGTGGTTCAATACAGTGGTTCTAACTCGTGGTTCAATACAGCGGTTCTAACTCGTGGTTCAATAGAATGGTTCTAACTCGTGATTCAATACAGTGGTTCTAACTCGTGGTTCAATACAGTGGTTCTAACTCGTGGTTCAATACAGTGGTTCTAACTCGTGGTTCAATACAGTGGTTCTAACTCGTGGTTCAATACAGTGGTTCTAACTCGTGGTTCAATACAATGGTTCTAACTCGTGGTTCAATACAGTGGTTCTAACTCGTGGTTCAATACAGTGGTTCTAACTCGTGGTTCAATAGATGGTTCTAACTCGTGGTTCAATACAGTGGTTCTAACTCGTGGTTCAATACAGTGGTTCTAACTCGTGGTTCAATAAAATGGTTCTAACTCGTGATTCAATACAGTGGTTCTAACTCGTGGTTCAATACAGTGGTTCTAACTCGTGGTTCAATACAGTGGTTCTAACTCGTGGTTCAATACAGTGGTTCTAACTCTGGTTCAATACAGTGGTTCTAACTCAGTGGTTCAATAGAATGGTTCTAACTCGTGGTTCAATACAATGGTTCTAACTCGTGGTTCAATACAGTGGTTCTAACTCGTGGTTCAATACAGTGGTTCTAACTCGTGGTTCAATAGAATGTTCTAACTCGTGGTTCAATACAGTGGTTCTAACTCGTGGTTCAATACAGTGGTTCTAACTCGTGGTTCAATACAGTGGTCTAACTCGTGGTTCAATAGATGGTTCTAACTCGTGGTTCAATACAGTGGTTCTAACTCGTGGTTCAATACAGTGGTTCCTAACTCGTGGTTCAATAGAAATGGTTCTAACTCGTGGTTCAATACAGATGGTTCTAACTCGTGGTTCAATACAGTGGTTCTAACTCGTGGTTCAATAGAATGGTTCTAACTCGTGGTTCAATACAGTGGTTCTAACTCGTGGTTCAATACAGCGGTTCTAACTCGTGGTTCAATAGAATGGTTCTAACTCGTGGTTCAATACAGTGGTTCTAACTCGTGGTTCAATACAGTGGTTCTAACTCGTGGTTCAATACAATGGTTCTAACTCGTGGTTCAATACAAGTGGTTCTAACTCGTGGTTCAATACAATGGTTCTAACTCGTGGTTCAATACAATGGTTCTAACTCGTGGTTCAATACAATGGTTCTAACTCGTGGTTCAATACATTGACTCGAGGTCTTGTTTCGTCAGTGGTTCTAACTCGTGGTTCAATACAGTGGTTCTAACTTGTGGTTCAATACAGTGGTTCTAACTCGTAGTTCAATACAATGGTTTCGTGGTTCAATACAGTGGTTCTAACTCGTGGTTCAATACAGTGATTCTAACTCGTGGTTCAATAGTGATTCTAACTCGTGGTTCAATACAGTGGTTCTACTCGTGGTCAATACAGTGGTTCTAACTCGTGGTTCAATACAGTGGTTCTAACTCGTTGTTCAATAGAATGGTTCTAACTCAGTGGTTCAATACAGTGGTTCTAACTCGTGGTTCAATACAATGGTTCTAACTCGTGGTTCAATACAATGGTTCTAACTCGTGGTTCAATACAGTGGTTCTAACTCGTGGTTCAATACAGTGGTTCTAACTTGTGGTTCAATACAGTGGTTCTCTCGTAGTTCAATACAATGGTTCTAACTCGTGGTTCAATACAGCGGTTCTAACTCGTGGTTCAATAGAATGGTTCTAACTCGTGATTCAATACAGTGGTTCTAACTCGTGGTTCAATACAGTGGTTCTAACTCGTGGTTCAATACAATGGTTCTAACTCGATTCAATACAGTGGTTCTAACTCGTGGTTCAATACAGTGGTTCCTAACTCGTGGTTCAATACAGTGGTTCTAACTCGTGATTCAATAAAGTGGTTCTAACTCTGGTTCAATACAGTGGTTCTAACTCGTGGTTCAATACAGTGGTTCTAACTCGTGGTTCAATGTGGTTCTAACTCGTGGTTCAATACAGTGGTTCTAACTCGTGGTTCAATACAATGGTTCTAACTCGTGGTTCAATACAGTGGTTCTAACTCGTGGTTCAATACAGTGGTTCAAACTCGTGGTTCAATACAATGGTTCTAACTCGTGGTTCAATACAATGGTTCTAACTCGTGGTTCAATACATTGACTCGAGGTCTTGTTTCGATACAGTGCGATGTCTGGTTCGACAATACGATATTTATTGGATGACCGAGGGATGTTGGATGTGACCGAGTGTGTTGGATGTGACCGAGGGTGTTGGATGTGACCGAGGAGTGTTGGATGTGACCGAGGTGTTGGATGACCGAGTGTGTTGGATGTGACCGAGGAGTGTTGGATGTGACCGGTGTGTTGGGAGGTGACCGAGTGTGTTGGAGGACCGAGTGTGTTGAGAGTGGCCGAGGAGTGTTGGATGTGACCGAGGGTATTGGATGTGACAGTGTGTTGACCAGAATTTTTTGGGGTGGCCGAGGAGTGTTGGATGTGACCGAGTGTGTTGGCTGTGACCGAGTGTGTTGGAGGTGGCCGGGTGTGCTGGATGTGACAGAGTGTGTTAGAGTGTGTTTGGAGGTGGCCGAGTGTTGGATGTGACCGAGGTGTGGATGTGACCGAGTGTGTTGGCTGTAAACGAGGTGTTGGCTGTGCCGAGTGTGTGGCTGTGACCAGTGTTGGAGGTGACCGAGAATTGGATGTGACAGTGTTGGATGTGACCAGATGTGACCGAGTGTGTTGGAGGTGGCCGAGGTGTTGGATGTGACAGTGTGTTGGAGGTGGCCGAGGAGTGGGCTGTGACCGAGTGTGTTGGATGTGACCAGTGTGTTGGATGTGCCGGTGTGTTGGATGTGACAGAGTGTGTGTGGGGGTGTGGATGTGACCGAGTGTGTTGGAGGTGCCGGTGTTGGCTGTGACCAGGTGTGTGTGTGTTGGGTGACCAGGTGTGGATGTGACCGAGTGTGTTGGGGTGGCCAGAGTGTTGGCTGTGACCGAGTGTGCGTGACCAGAGTGTTGGATGTGACCGAGGGTGTTGGCTGTGACCCGAGTGTATGTGACCGGAAGTGTGTTGGTGGCCGAGGTGTTGGCTGTGACCGAGTGTGGATGTGACCGAGTGTGTGATGGCCGAGGGTGTTGGCTGTGACCAGGTGTGTTGTCCGAGGTGTTGGCTGTGACCGGGGTGTTGGGTGTGTTGGATGTGACCCAGGTGTGTTGGCTGTGACCAGGTGTGTTGGATGTGACCGAGTGTGTTGGAGGTGGCCGAGGGAGTGTTGGCTGTGGTGTGTTGGCTGTGACCGAGTGTGTTGGAGGTGGCCGAGGTGTTAGGTGGCCGAGGTGTTGGCTGTGACCAGGTGTGGCTGTGGCCCCAGGTGACCGAGTGTGTTGGATGTGACCGAGGTGTTGGCTGTGACCAGGTGTGTTGGATGTGACCAGTGTTGGAGGTGCGAGGGGTGTTGGCTGTGACCAGTGTTGCAGCCGAGTGTGTGGCAGTGTGACGGGTGTGTTGGCAGTGGGTGTTGGAGGTGACCAGGTGTGTTGGATGTGACCGAGTGTGTTGAGGTGACCGAGTGTGTTGGAGGTGACCGAGTGTGTTGGAGGTGGCCGAGGAGTGTTGGCTGTGACCGAGTGTGTGTTAGGTAGAATGAGGGGGAGAAGACGTCACTCAGTACACGCCAATACGAGTACCTGTACATCTTCGTCAGAGCCTTAAAGTACTGTACACACAAGGTGCTGACTATATGATAAAACTCTCTCTCTCTCTCTCTCTCTCTCTCTCTCTCTCTCTCTCTCTCTCTCTCTGGTCTCTGGAGACTGGTGTTACACCATGCATATATGAAACACCAGAGTACCAGTTACACACTAAGCCAGGTAAACACCAGGCCAGGTACACCAGGTACATGGCAGTGCCGGAAATACCGAGACCGGTACACACCAGGTACGGGTGAAACTGGTACGATGCCGAACCAGAGCCAGGTAAACACCAAGTACCAGGTACACACCAGGTACATGGCAGTTGTTCAGAGCCAGGTACACACATTATAGAGCCAGGTACACACTACAGAGCCAGGTACACACTACAGAGCCAGGTACACACATTATAGAGCCAGGTACACACTACAGAGCCAGGTACACACCATAGAGCCAGGTACACACCAGATAAGCCAGGTATAAGGTAGAGATAAGCCACATACTCACCACGTCTATCAGCTGGGAAAGCTTGAGCTTGATCATGACTGTGAGGACATCCGTTACGTTCACTACAGGACGCACCAGCTTGTTGTAGTTGGACAGTAGGTCGTCGTACAGCCGCTTGGCGTCCGGGTTGCCGCACTCAGCAGGCGCCAGGCAGCTCGCCAGCAGTAGGAAGCTCGCCAGCAGGAGCTTGTGCGAGCAGGAAGTAGTGGAGGAGGGCGGGCGTGACCGTAGCGCCCCTCCACCTCCCTCCGTCGCCCCCCAAGGATACCTGCTGGTGGTACGACGGGGAGGTTCCTCTACTTCTGTTGTGCTCCACGACCCGGACGATCGTAGTGCCCCGCCGTCGGATGCACCCAGACTCCTGCTGTTACATCGGGGAGGGTCTTCTGCTGCCCAAGGACTCCTGCTGTTACTGCTACATCGGACAGCTTCCTCGCCCGTCACTGTTGCTTCCCAGGGAGTTGACGTCAGCACCCCTCCTTTTGTCGCAGCTGGACTCCTGCTACCACGAGGAATGTCTTCTGCTGGCCATGGCCGCTCTAACGCCAGGGACCGTGCCTGCTGCTGCTGCCACATTCCTGCTCGTTCCAGCAGGCTGCCCTTATTCCCGGGGCGGCCTGCTTCTATTGGTGTACGCTGAGTGGACCCCCCGGCCTGCCAGGCATCGCCGCGGACCATAACCCCGTCAGAGGATGACCTTCCGGGGCAGGTAGACTTCGACCAGGGTCCAGACGAGACCGCTGGTGACCTGGAAGAGTTTGACCTGGGCCCCGACGTGACCCCTGGTGACCTGGGGAGCCCCCCAGGCGAGTAATGCCTTCCCGGCTCCTCACCACAACCTGATCCTGGCATGGTAGCCGTCCCACTCGCTACCTGGTCGGCGCCATGGTGGTGGTTGTGGAAGTGGATGGCGGAGTGTGGGATGAGGGAGCCTGGTGGAGAGCCTGTGGGCTAGAGCCTCCTGCTCACTGGAGCCTCACCTCCTCCTCCCCGCGGAGCCTCCACCCACAGTGTAATAGTTCTCCTTTAGTGACAGCGGCCCAGGAGGTACGGCCAGCCAGCCTCCTCGTCCTCTAAGCTTCCCCCGTCGAAACTCTCCCTTGCACCATCCTCTCCCAGGATACTATCACCGTCGTCTCCTCTCCCAAATACAAGACCCCGAAACACACTGATAACACCGCCCTCACCCCGGCCAGCTCACTCACTCTCCCCGTCCAGGCACCGTAACCTACATGGAACCGACACAGGGATGTCTACAGTTAGGAAAAAGGAAACCTCTCACTGAGGGACCGGGAGGAAACCTCTCACTGATGGGCCGAGAGGAAACCTCTCACTGATGGACCGGGGGTAAACCTCTCACTGAGGTAAGAAGCAGCAGACCCAGAGAGCCTGACACACACACACACGACCTCACACCACAAGTACAACAGCGCCACTGGGCCTTACCTCCTCCTCCTCCTCCCTACCTCGTTCTCTCCGCGCCCGCGCTCTCCACACCTCGACCCTCTCCCCGCCCCTCACTCTACCTCTCCTCAAGAGATAGATGATTACTTAGATGTCCTCTTCCTTTTTTCCTTCTCTTCTTCCTTCCTATTCCTCCTCTTATTATTTTCCTACTTCCTCCTTCATCCCGTCCTCCTCCTCTCCTTCTGTTGTAGGGCTCAAGGGGTGATGGGCTGATTCAATAAGTATGATCGGAGGATTTATCCACTAATACACCGTAAGATTATAGGATTTATCCACTATTACACCGTAAGATTGAAGGATTTATCCACTATTACACCGTAAGATTGGAGGATTTATCCACTATTACACCGTGAGATTGGAGGATTTATCCACTATTACACCGTAAGATTGGAGGATTTATCCACTATTACACCGTAAGATTGAAGGATTTATCCACTATTAAACCATAAGGTTGAAGGATTTATCCACTATTACACCGTAAGATTGGAGGATTTATCCACTATTACACCGTAAGATTGAAGGATTTATCCACTATTACACCGTAAGGTTGAAGGATTTATCCACTATTACACCGTAAGATTGGAGGATTTATCCACTATTACACCGTAAGATTGAAGGATTTATCCACTATTACACCGTAAGATTGAAGGATTTATCCACTATTACACCGTAAGATTGAGGATTTATCCACTATTACACCGTAAGATTGGAGGATTTATCCACATTACACTTACATTACCGTAAGATTGGAGGATTTATCCACTATTACACCGTGAGATTGGAGGTTTTATCCACTATTACACCGTAAGATTGGAGGATTTATCCACTATTACACCGTAAGATTGGAGGATTTATCCACTATTACACCGTGAGATTGGAGGATTTATCCACTATTACACCGTGAGATTGGAGGATTTATCCACTATTACACCGTGAGATTGGAGGATTTATCCACTATTACACCGTGAGATTGGAGGATTTATCCACTATTACACCGTAGGATTGGAGGATTTATCCACTATTACACCGTAAGATTGGAGGATTTATCCACTATTACACCGTAGGATTGAAGGATTTATCCACTATTAAACCATAAGGTTGAAGGATTTATCCACTATTACACCGTAGGATTGAAGGATTTATCCACTATTACACCGTAATATTGAAGGATTTATCCACTAATACACCGTAAGATTAAAGGATTTATCCACTATTACACCGTAATATTGAAGGATTTATCCACTAATACACCGTAAGATTAAAGGATTTATCCACTATTACACCGTAAGATTAAAGGATTTATCCACTATTACACCGTGATTAAAGGATTTATCCACTATTACACCGTAGGATTGAAGGATTTATCCACTAATACACCGTAAGATTAAAGGATTTATCCACTATTACACCGTAGGATTGAAGGATTTATCCACTATTAAACCATAAGGTTGAAGGATTTATCCACTATTAAACCATAAGGTTGAAGGATTTATCCACTATTACACCGTAGGATTGAAGGATTTATCCACTATTAAACCATAAGGTTGAAGGATTTATCTACTAATACACCGTAAGATTGCTGATTTATTCATTTATTATAATTCGTAGGATTGAAGGATTTATCCACTATTAAACCATAAGGTTGAAGGATTTATCCACTATTACACCGTAAGATTAAAGGATTTATCCACTATTAAACCATAAGGTTGAAGGATTTATCCACTATTACACCGTAAGATTAAAGGATTTATCCACTAATACACCGTAATATTAAAGGATTTATCCACTAATACACCGTAATATTAAAGGATTTATCCACTATTACACCGTAAGATTAAAGGATTTATCCACTATTACACCGTAAGATTAAAGGATTTATCCACTATTACACCGTAGGATTGAAGGATTTATCCACTATTACACCGTAAGATTAAAGGATTTATCCACTATTACACCGTAAGATTAAAGGATTTATCCACTATTACACCGTAAGATTAAAGGATTTATCCACTATTACACCGTAAGATTAAAGGATTTATCCACTATTACACCGTAAGATTAAAGGATTTATCCACTATTACACCGTAATATTGAAGGATTTATCCACTAATACACCGTAATATTGAAGGATTTATCCACTATTACACCGTAAGATTAAAGGATTTATCCACTATTACACCGTAGGATTGAAGGATTTATCCACTAATACACCGTAATATTGAAGGATTTATCCACTAATACACCGTAATATTGAAGGATTTATCCACTATTACACCGTAAGATTAAAGGATTTATCCACTATTACACCGTAAGATTGAAGGATTTATCCACTAATACACCGTAATATTGAAGGATTTATCCACTAATACACCGTAATATTGAAGGATTTATCCACTAATACACCGTAATATTGAAGGATTTATCCACTATTACACCGTAAGATTGAAGGATTTATCCACTAATACACCGTAATATTGAAGGATTTATCCACTAATACACCGTAATATTGAAGGATTTATCCACTAATACACCGTAATATTGAAGGATTTATCCACTATTACACCGTAAGATTGAAGGATTTATCCACTATTACACCGTAGGATTGATGACTCAGTCTTGGATTAAAGACTCAGTATGAGAGAGAGAGAGAGACAGTGAAAGCGGGAAGACAAAAGATAAAAGGTAATGGAGAGACTAACAAAGGGAAGAAGAAAAATAAAGCAGAGAGAAAGGAACAGAAAAGAGACGATAGGGAAAAGGAGAGAAAGAGAGAGACAGGAAGAATAATGGAGAGTAGAGCTCTTTTTATACTAATTCTCTCTGTCCCCAAAATTGTGTTGATATAATGTAAATATAAACAAAATATTGACTAGCATTAAATAATCATACATTATACATTCACACATATATGGGAATATAACAAAATTATTACTTTAGTTTACCATATTTATATTCTAGTTCCCTGATGTTGACATTGGGTGCAAGGCGGGGAGATTAATGTTAAAATTTACCACGAATATAACCACGAACCCACTTTATCTTTTCAGTTGATACGAATCTTCATTAATTTCTTATTTTACATCACGGAACTTAACCTTAAACAAAACAAAAAATAATTAAACCCAACTTAACCTTCAATAACTCTATAGTTTCACCTAGTTTGAGTCCTGAGGTTAGGTTAAATTTGGTTAGCTTAATTTAGTTTATATTTGATTATACTTGGTAAGATTAGGTTGAATTAGGTCAAATTATATTAAAGTATGTGAAACTACGTTAGATAACATTATAAATTATATTTGCTTAACGTTAGGATAGATTAAGCTACAATAGATTGTTACATATGGCTATATTAGGACATATTATACTATATTTGGTTGGGTTACATTATAATATATTAACTTTGGTTAAATTAGGTTAAATCTGTCTGATTGAAACTTAAAAAAAAAGTTAATGTCTGGTTCGTGGTACAACAACAACACTGAACATCTTGACTTAAACGTAAAGTGACGCTATCAGTGGTCTTCTATTCTCATATTTCATTTATTTTTCTCACCTTGGCAGTTAATTAGAGAAGGTGAGATGACTCTAACAATCTTGTTAACCTTTAATTCGGTTTAACTAAGGATTTGCGCAAAAATAAGTCGAATTAACGTAAATATTTAGTATTTTGTCTGTGATATACAAGTGGTGAAGGGCCCTCACACTTGCCCGGAAAGTTATACATTTAATAATTTATAAAGAATTATACTTATTTAGAGGAAGTTATGTAAGGTTTATGATTCTGAGGACTCTTTTTAAACCTTAAATTGTTTGTGGTTCAGGTTAATGATGAAATAACACCAGATAACATATAATTATTGAAGATATTTTTGACCAATGTTTTAAGAATTAATTTAAGAGTTCTTCTCACAGGTGTTCCATTTACTGGTATGGTCATTACTCTCACCAGGTCAACCTCATGCCTGATATTTTATATTTATTTAAGCGTCGTGAGCCGTTGTTTCAAATGTTATAGTGAGAGATGCCCAACCTATGTGCTGTGTTTGGTTGTAATTCAAGCGGAGGAAAGAAAAGCGACATTGTATTTCATCGCTTTCCCAAAAATGAAGAGCTGAGACGAAGGTGGATTGATCTGTGCAAGAGACAAGATGTGTTTAATAGTAATAATGCCCGGATATGCAGTATTCATTTTGAACCGAGCAACTTTGTTAGAAATATCAAGTACAAACTACTCGGCCTACCTATACCTCGATCACAGAGAAAAGTTAGAGATGATGCAGTGCCGACGCTCAACATGCCAACATCGCTGGGTAAGCTTCGGTTACATCAATAAACAGCAGTTTTAGGTCTACCACAGAAAATGGTAACAATAATAGGTTTTCCTGGTCTATTGTGTTTCAAACGAATCTGACCTTCATTTCCATCGCAAATGTTTGTTTGGTGTTCTTTTTAGTATTTTACAATTTCCCACAGCTTCAAAGCTCTGCCCACTTTGAACAACCATGATTCTGGCAAACGTAATAGAAGTTTTTTTTGCCCTTTCTCCCTGTTTAATAGAAATTTTAAGTTCCGTGGTGAACCTAAAACGAATATTAACCAATTTACTTTTTCATCATAATAACATAAGAATGGAAGAAACTGCACTGGGCCTATTGACCCATACTGGGCATTCCCATTTACACCCAAACCCTATTGCTCATTTATCTATCCAACCTATAAATATATCACTGTAAAATACTATCGTGATAATGATCGAAATATGGGTCAATATTCGGTAGTGACTATATACAGAACTATACTGTATATTTATTTTTAGACAGGTAGATAGAAAACAATAAAAGAACATTACTGTATAGCATTTCTGTCTTAATTTTATAGTCTTCGAGTTAAGCTAACTTTTTTATTTCACATACGAAAGTACAAGTTTGTGGGGATATAAATTGTTTACTTCTTACTTAGCCAATCAGCAGAAGTGTTGGTCACATGAGACCAACGTGTTTACTCACATTTTTATAGAAATTTATATATTTTGATATATATTTTTTTTTTTTTTACTTTTTTTCAGTTTTGGTTTCTTTAGATTCTTTTGTTTCATCAGTTTTTGTATGCTTTAAGCTCATAGTTCCCTCTAGTTCACTTTGTGTGATCAAAATTGTATTTAAGTGAAATCGAAAAGTAAAAAAAAAATTACTTCAGAACTATAAATTTTCAAAGACAATACTATAGAGTAAAATTTATATATTTTTTGCTCTATCTCCCTTTAAAAGAATCAACGTAACGTTCCGTACATAGTCGCTACGGAATATTTACCCATTCTGTACATAGACAGTTCATGTATACAGGTAATGTTCATAGACTGCATAAATATAATCAATTTACAGTCCCCCAAAAAGTGGTTTTAGATTTTCCGTTGCTACAATTTGAAACGCTGGATGAAATGCTTTAATATGATCCCCAGTACATCATCATAAGTTGGTACGCCTGCTCGGCACATCAGCAACAGCTAGATATGGGGATAGGATTGGGGAGGATGCGTCATGTAACATTTTCGTTTGATAAACCTTGATGTTTGTGGGGGTTAGGTTCCAAGGAGTGGCACAAATAGCAACTTATACTACCTTAGTGCACTACTGTATACCTTACTGTATATGAGAAACTTATGTCACCAACACTACTCTCCTTTGTTGGAGCTTGATGAAGTATACTGCAGAGTAAGTTAAATCTAGTTACTGAAGCATAGGGAGATCATCAGGATCACTGTTGGAAGAGGGTGATGCAGTGATGGTTGGTGGAGAGGTGTGTGACAGGGAGGTGGGTAGTGGAGCTGTGGCAGCAGCTGACTGAGTAGGTGAGGGAGACGAATCAACTGGGCGAGCAGCTGATTCTTTCTTGAAAAACATTGTGAGGTTTCTAAACGTTTCACTCCACTAGCAACATTAGCACTAAGGTCACTTTTCGTTTACCACCAATCACCTTTTATCACATGAAAAATATATTTTTTTGATAGTTTTCTTGCTGTTTTAGATGATTCTGACATTTATTTTTTTTAAGTTATTCCCACCTCCCCTTCCACCCCTACAATGTTGGGGGCCACATTGGGAATGCTGAGTTTGGGGAGGGGGGGGGGGACAAGTGATTTTCACAAAGATAAATGTCAGAATCATCTAAAACACCAAGAAAATTAGTGAAAAAATATTTTTTTCATGGGAAAAAAGGTTAAATCTAAACTAGGTCTACCTACTAACGTAACCTTACCTGACCTAACATAACAGGCCACGTCCTAACCTAACAGGCCCCCCAATGATGCTGTTTTCCTTAGCTAACACAAACGATTGAACGAGAGCGACGTTGCATGTCACCATAACATCAATTTGTGATTATTACAACAAATAAGTTGCGTTTATTTATGGAATGCCCCGCTAAATTCAAGTATATTCTTTTGTTTCTCGACGAGGTCTATTAAATGGTGAGAGAAAATTTAAAAAAAAAAGGTGACGGGTGACTAACGAAAGATGACCAGCACTAACACTTGGCAGTCTTTTAGGGGCCATTTCACACAGAAACACTAAAGTTTTAAGTACGACACAAGAAATGCTGCGTCGCAGGCAATGGTTGAGTGCAAACAAAGGGAGAGGAGATGCTGTGGGTGTGTGGGGATGACTCATTGTGCTGCGGGAGAGGCTCATGAGCTAGCCACCATATGCTTACCGCTAATAGTCGAAATCACGAATCACAAACCCGTGAATAGCGAGAGTTTACTTCAATATAACAAGAAATCTATTGAGCTGTAATAATATTTCTTCATGCCATTTGCCTCTGTCTACCCAGCAGCAATTGGGGACGTGGATGTTAATTGATTTGCGGATCGTGTTCTGGGGTAATGGTTAGTCAGTGCAGTTGACGAGTTGTCCGGTCTTCTCGGACTATTCCTTGACACTGGGTCATGCAACTCGTTAACTTGTGTTGACAACAGCTTCTACGCCTTAAACAAATTCATGCCTAGGTGGCCCTAGGGCCGGCCATCTTCAATTTCAAGGGGCATCCATTATTATTATTATATAAGACATCGTACTCAGGAGGTTAAGACATTGTACTCAAGAGGTTAAGACATCATTCACAAGGGGCTAAGACTTGGTTCTCAAGGGATTAATAAATCATTCTCAATGGGTTATAAGACATCGTACTCAGAGGGTTCAAGGTCGCAGATGTAGAACTACATTCGCTGACAAAATAATCAGGACAAGTCTGGTAGTACAGTACTCATACAGACATTCAGATCATGTCATAATGTTTCTGTCTCCTACCTCGTGTTCTATAAAGCAAGACACACCAAAGGATTACATGATTTTAGGGCCTTATGTACCATATTCTGATACATGGTACTATCATACTACACATGGTCACTATCTACTCACTGATACCTTTCTTACATGTCTCCTTACTGCTCAATGACTACTGTGTCTGCCAAGGAATCGCTTCATTTCTTAGTATAACTACGACGAGACATACAACATTGATACACTGTCCAGATTATACAACACAATCTTCACTACACAATATTGCTTACATTATATTTATGTACATAAAACACTACCCCAGCCTATAGAATATTTATAATACAGTTAGGTGGATATCTATCCAACCGAACAAACTTACTGGTACCCTTCAGTATGTGTTGCAGAAAGTAGCAGGTCAGTGGTTAAATCTTATGTAAGTGGGTAAATGAATTTTTCGATGATGAGAAAACTAATGGTGCTTACCTCCGGATGGTGAACTTTTTGCTGGAAGGGCATAAGTATGGAAAAAAATAAATGAATAATCGTCATTATACTATTACTTTGGGGGGGGGGGGGGGTGGAGCCTATCTATTATGAAACTTCTCCTCACTATAACCTCTAGGGGTTGACCCCCCCCTCTAGAGAGGTGACCATTCATCAGTACAGTAGTTAAGATTAAAAATAAGAAAAAACAAATACGTATAAAAAATTCTTTAATGTTTTAAATAAATAAGGAGTTACTTTAAGGTAATTTATGTTGATTAATAAGGGAATGGTTGTGACTTGGCACTGTAATGTGTATTATTGTTGGGGCCATAAATGGAGGTCTTGAGGGGGAAGTACTGTAACTGTATAAGTTAATAAGTTTAGTGAGGGTAATTCCCTGTCAGTGTCCTGGACCAGAGCACATAAGTGTAATAAACTTTATCTGCCAGGTGTGAAGGGGACGTTTGGGGAACAAAAGTCTGGCTCCTTGGATATAAATGCTTAATTTTGTGGCAACGAAGCTAAACCTAAAAGGTATAGGAATCATAATTTAGAGACCAGAAGAAGTTAATTTTTTTGACATGCAGGTGAGTTTATCAGTCATTTGGTTAGATCTTGGATTCAATGTACTTAGGGATTGTCTGTGGTTGTACCTTTATACTGTAGGAGTATTTTCATTATACACTTAGGTCCTGTTAGGCAGTGTAAAGAGTTTTCTGTATTTTGTGGTTATAATGTGTTACCAGTGTAGGTTAGGTTAGGTTGTATACCTTTTGTATTGTCTGAATAAATGATGTTATATGTTTGTCATGCCAGGTGGCTAATTATGTTTCTTTGTGTGGTCTAGTTATGCCATAATCTATGTGAGTTGGGTAATGTATACCTCTAGAGTTATGAACTAGAATTCTTCAATATTATATCTGACATATTTACACAGTGTTTATTATGATCCTGAAATTGAATGGATATTTAAAATTAAATTTGGAAGAACCTGTGACAGTAAGGTACAGTATTCCTGGAGAGAATACCATAGGTCTTCATGACATTGGTTTGAGCCAGGAGTTCAAAGCATAGAGCTAGTGCTAAACTAAGTGCCGTCCATAAAAGGAAGCGTAGCAGCTATGGATGGGACGTGAAGTAGACATTATTCATGGCAAGGAAGTAGTGTAAAAATAATTGTTTTGGGTATCAATTATTATCTTAGGTCCCATTCAAACCCTGTTTCCACTATTTCTTATGGCCAGAAATTCCCTGCTTTAAGTGGCTATTTTTCTGTCCCTGTTAGCCTCGGATAACTAGGACCTAAAGTTAACCGGTAAGAACCACACAGCAGACTCACCAAGCCACTCTCCCTCCACAGGAAACACAATGATATCCATGGGGAAGATTGCCCATGAGGTACGGGAGATGTACCTGAGCAAGTTCAAGCAGGTGAGCCCGTACGTGTGTAACGCCATGTCTCCCCGCGTGGTGCTCCTCCGCCTCAACTCCAAGATGATCGACAAGTACACCAGGCAAGACTCTGGGTGGGTAGAACAGAGGGCGGATGGAGACACAGGGTGGGTAGAACAAAGGGTGGATGGGGTGGATGGGAACAGGCGGTTCAGGAGACACAGAATTGGAGGTAGACAAAGGGTGGACTACAGGAGGACAGTGGGTCAGAGACAGAGATTGGACTACAGGAGACCTGGGGTGGGTAGAATAGGGTGGACCAGGAGGACAGGGTGACAGAGGTGGACCTGGGAGACACAGGGGTGGGTGGGACAGGGTGGACTGGGACACAGGGGTGGGTGGAACAAAGGGTGGACTCTGCAGGGCAGGTGGTGAACAGAGGGTGGTTCTGGGGGCATTACAGGGTGAGTGGGAACAAACAGTTGGACTGGGAGACAGGGGTGGTGAACAGAGGTGGTTACAGGGAGACACAGTTAGGTGGTGTCGACAGTGGTTCTGGGGACACAGGGAGTGGGTGAAACAATTCTTGGACTGAGAACACAGGTGAGACAAAGGGTGGACTGGAGGCAGTTAGGTGAGACAAACGGTGGTTCTGGGAATACAGGGGTGGGTAGAACAGAGGGTGGACTACAGGAGACACAGGGTGGGTAGAACAAAGGGTGGACTACAGGAGACACAGGGTGGGTAGAACAGAGGGTGGACTACAGGAGACACAGGGTGGGTAGAACAGAGGGTGGACTACAGGAGACACAGGGTGGGTAGAACAGCATGTGTGTTTATGGGCTTCATTACCTGATAAATAATACCGTATTACATTATAATAACACAGTATTACGAATTCTATATAACGAACTCTCGATTTAGCGGAGACACCTCAGACACATGATATGTATATTAGAAACATTATTCATGGCTTACCTTAAACTAGGGGGTTCGGTGTTTGTTTTAAAATTTTCTATTATTTCCAAACTTTTTTCCATTTGATAGCCGCACTCTTTTGACTTTCTCCCCCACACCACTTCCTTTCTGAGGCTTTCAGTATGATGTCTAAGCACTGTAGTTAGTTGACCGAGAGGTGACACACACGCTGGCGGAAAGAAACAGACTGAGCGGATGTAAACAAACCCCCATACACCATGCAGCGTATATGGCACAGAATCTAATGGAATCATGCTCGACTTAGTGAGCTAGTTCACTAAATTGAGAGAAAATAATGGAAAGTTCGATATAGCTGAAAATTTTGATTTAACAGAAAGGGGCGGCTTGAATTAGTTCGTTAAATCGAGAAAATACTGTACAGGTATAAACTGTAGGTATTCCTCGCTAGACAAATGTGTTAAGTTTCTTAAAACTATTAGTTAAATGAATTTTAGTATAGTGTAACTGATGATAATACAGTCATTAAAGATTATTTTAATGTATCATATTTGTCTTCAGCTGCCCATCCCCACACATGAAGGAGTTCTAGGTGCCTCCTAATCTTAAAAGAACTACCCTGAAATTTAGTGCCAAGTTTGGTGCTTTTATCACCAAATGGTTAGCTGCTTCACAACATTAAATTACTGTAATGATCATAATATAATACAGCTTTATCATCAACAACTGATGTTGACCCTCCAACCTTTGATGATGTTATCACAGAATATTGTTGTAGTGAGAGCTTGGTGGCAGGCAGTGTGTGATCCAAGCACAGAATGGTGTACAGTACTGAGTAGCTACATACAGTATTTGATTAATACTGTATGTACTGTTCACACTATTTCAGTGTTTGTATGTAAACTGAGTCATATGTTAATAATTTTTTGTGTCCACAGGAAGAATGACTCGCTTCTGAGTGATGATGATGAGGATTGGTTTACGGCTGTTAATGATAACTGGGACATGAGTTTATTAGAACCAATCATTCAGATATCTTCTGAAGCCAACTCACAGCAGGGACCTAAAGGAAAACGTGAAGGATACGCAAGAGGGAAAAGAGGACGTTTGGCATTAAACATCAACAGGAGGAAGAGTCCAGTACAGGAAGAAATCCAAGTGAAGCAAGAACGGCCGGATAGCCCGGACCTTGGCGTTCCCAATGATACAATGACCATCTTAACCAATGTCGCCCCATACAATCCTGCCGTCACCATGTTACAGGTGCCATCGGCTGTCTTGCCGATGTACGTGTCTTCGTCGCAGCCATCTTCAAAAACATTGGGCAAAGGCAATATCAACATTACCACAGATCACAACGCCTTACCTCACACCGGCCATCCTCCCAGTTATGGTAATGGTGTTATAGAGACAAACATCAAACAAGAAGTGACAGATACAGAAGTCATCATAATGCCATTTGAAGCTGCACCTCACGGTGTCCGGCCCCAAGATGCACCCAGTAAAGACACACTCAGCAGTGTGCCTTCCCCACCACCAAAAGCTTTAAATCCACCCAATAAAAGAAAAAAAAATAGCTCACAGGGAAAAACAAAGAAAGGGACAGCAGCTACTAGTGACAAGGATCCCTCAGGTCACGAGAGTCTCAGAGAATTAACGACTCTGTTGGTCGAGTTGAACAACAAAAACACTGTCTGTGATGAGAAGATTCAGTTGTTCAAGGACGAATACGAGAAGAAGGTGTCGGTTATCGAGGCGGAGAAGAAATCTAACGAGAAGGAAATTGAATGTGTGTTGTCGCTGATTCAGAACTGGAAAGAAGGATCCAAAACTAAAGCGCCAGCGCCACCGACGACCAATAAAAGATCTCGCAAGTCTGCACGGTAAGAGGGGGGGAGCCTCACCTGGGGTCTCTTGTGTACTCGAGGGGAAAAACAAATGCTGAAATCATGTTTCATGTTGACGCCACTTTGTCAGTGTACATTATCATATTACAAACTGTCACTAAAGAAAACATGGCTGGTGAGTCAACCTCTTAGTAGTAGCCACAACATATACTTTAGAAGGGCAGAAGCTGTTGGCCTCTGAGTAGTACAACATGTATAAAGTCATGAGAAGTAAGAGTATATGTCTGTGATTTGTTAATATGAAAGGGATTAAAAAAAACCTCAATAGGATAATTTTGTTGTAAGTCTGTTCACAGTATTCTATGTTTAGTGAAGAGAAAGAGGGGGAGAGGCATTCAGACCGATAAAGAAAGAGAGAGAGAGAGAGGTTGAGTAAAAGAAATTGAGCTCTAGAGAGAGATAGGTGTGTGGTGTTAGGTGATAGGAAGAGATAGATGTGTGGTGTTAGGTGATAGGAAGAGATAGGTGTGTGGTGTTAGGTGATAGGAAGAGATAGGTGTGTGGTGTTAGGTGAAAGGAAGAGATAGGTGTGTGGTGTTAGGTGATAGGAAGAGATAGGTGTGTGGTGTTAGGTGATAGGAAGAGATAGATGTGTGGTGTTAGGTGATAGGAAGAGATAGGTGTGTGGTGTTAGGTGATAGGAAGAGATAGGTGTGTGGTGTTAGGTGATAGGAAGAGATAGGTGTGTGGTGTTAGGTGATAGGAAGAGATAGGTGTGTGGTGTTAGGTGATAGGAAGATAGGTGTGTGGTGTTAGGTGATAGGAAGAGATAGGTGTGTGTGTGTTAGGGTGATAGGGAAGAGATAGGTGTGTGGTGTTAGGTGATAGGAAGAGATAGGTGTGTGGTGTTAGGTGATAGGAAGAGATAGGTGTGTGGTGTTAGGTGATAGGAAGAGATAGGTGTGTGGTGTTAGGTGATAGGAAGAGATAGGTGTGTGGTGTTAGGTGATAGGAAGAGATAGGTGTGTGGTGTTAGGTGATAGGAAGAGATAGGTGTGTGGTGTTAGGTGATAGGAAGAGATAGGTGTGTGGTGTTAGGTGATAGGAAGAGATAGGTGTGTGGTGTTAGGTGATAGGAAGAGATAGGTGTGTGGTGTTAGGTGATAGGAAGAGATAGGTGTGTGGTGTTAGGTGATAGGAAGAGATAGGTATGTGGTGTTAGGTGATAGGAAGAGATAGGTGTGTGTGTGTTAGGTGATAGGAAGAGATAGGTGTGTGGTGTTAGGTGATAGGAAGAGATAGGTGTGTGGTGTTAGGTGATAGGAAGAGATAGGTGTGTGGTGTTAGGTGATAGGAAGAGATAGGTGTGTGGTGTTAGGTGATAGGAAGAGATAGGTGTGTGGTGTTAGGTGATAGGAAGAGATAGGTGTGTGGTGTTAGGTGATAGGAAGAGATAGGTGTGTGGTGTTAGGTGATAGGAAGAGATAGGTGTGTGGTGTTAAGAGATAGGTGTTTGTATTCTTATATCGGAATTTCAATCTGTTAAATGTCATTTTCCTAAATTCTTTCGGGCATTTTCATTCATTGTTTTAGACATCCATACATTCTCTCAGACATAACCATACATTTTTTTATTTTTAATTATTGGTCACTCCCCTACATCCTTGTGTATGGTGAGGCGCAGAAGCGTTTACAGCGCCCAACAGGGAAGCATGCTAAGTTCATGCTTGCCTTTATGTCTCATGAGTCAAGGGCATAGAAGCCTGAAGAGTCAATGGTTTATGTCATCAAGTTATTGGAAGCTCCAACAACTTGTCCCTGAATACGAATTCGCAACTTTCGATTTACAACAGGTACCTACTTTACTGCTAGGTGAACAGGGACTAATGGGGGCTAGGAAGTAAGTCCAAACAACTTCCACCGGCCCGGGAATCGAACCCGTGACATCTCGCTTGCGAAGGCAAGAGCGGTACCACTCTACCACCAGCACCCCCACAAAACCATACATTCTCTCAGACATAACCATACATTCATCACAGATATAACCATACATTCTCTCAGACATGACCATACATTCTCTCAGACATAACCATACATTCTCTCAGACATAACCCTACATTCTCAGACATAACCATACATTCAATCTCAGACATAACCCTACATTCTCAGACATAACCATACATTCAATCTCAGACATAACCATACATTCTCTCAGACATAACCCTACATTCTCAGACATAACCATACATTCAATCTCAGACATAACCCTACATTCTCTCAGACATAACCCTACATTCTCTCAGACATAACCCTACATTCTCAGACATAACCCTACATTCTCAGACATAACCATACATTCAATCTCAGACATAACCCTACATTCTCAGACATACCATACATTCTCTCAGACATAACCCTACATTCTCTCAGACATAACCCCTACATTCTCTCAGACATAACCCTACATAGACATAACCCCACATTCTCTCAGACATAACCCTACTCTCAGACATAACCCTACATTCTCTAACCCTACATTCTCTCAGACATAACCCTACATTCTCTCAGACATAACCCTACATTCTCTCAGACATAACCCTACATTCTCTCAGACATAACCCTACATTCTCTCAGACATAACCCTACATTCTCTCAGACATAACCCTACATTCTCTCAGACATAACCCTACATTCTCTCAGACATAACCCTACATTCTCTCAGACATAACCCTACATTCTCTCAGACATAACCCTACATTCTCTCAGACATAACCCTACATTCTCTCAGACATAACCATACATTCTCTCAGACATAACCCTACATTCTCTCAGACATAACCCTACATTCTCTCAGACATAACCCTACATTCTCTCAGACATAACCCTACATTCTCTCAGACATAACCCTACATTCTCTCAGACATAACCCTACATTCTCTCAGACATAACCCTACATTCTCTCAGACATAACCCTACATTCTCTCAGACATAACCCTACATTCTCTCAGACATAACCCTACATTCTCTCAGACATAACCATACATTCTCTCAGACATAACCCTACATTCTCTCAGACATAACCCTACATTCTCTCAGACATAACTACATTCTCTCAGTGACATAACCCTACATTCTCTCAGACATAACCCTACATTCTCTCAGACATAACCATACATTCTCTCAGACATAACCATATTCTCTCAGACATAACCATACATTCTCTCAGACCTCATAACCATACATTCTCTCAGACATACCCCACATTCTCTCAGACATAACTCATTCTCTCAGACATAACCCTACATTCTCAGACATAACCCTACATTCTCAGACATAACCATACATTCTCTCAGACATAACCCTCATTCTCTCTCAGACATAACCCTACATTCTTGACATAACAGACATAACCCTACATTCTCTCAGACATAACCCTACATTCTCTCTGACATAACCCTACATTCTCTCAGACATAACCCTACATTCTCTCAGACATAACCCTACATTCTCTCAGACATAACCCTACATTCTCTCAGACATAACCATACATTCTCTCAGACATAACCCTACATTCTCTCAGACATAACCATACATTCTCTCAGGCATAACCATACATTCTCTCAGACATAAACATAAATACATTCTCTGAGAACTAATCATACATAGACATTTTCATAACCAGTTTATCACCTTTAATTGCTTGATGCAGTACTGGACTTTAATTGTTTCTCTATAGTCACCTCACCTCTTCATAGCTTCCTGCATACAGGTGACTTTCATCACCTGAAGGTCAGCCCCCTAGCTTATTTCACCTGAAGATTAACTATACCTTAATTGTAATCTAACCTTCCTTAATGCTAACCTTCCCTAATCCTAACCTTCCCTAATGCTAACCTAACCTAACCTCCCCTAATGTTAACCTAACCTATTCTAATTTATTGAAAAGACAGCACCTGATTTAACCCGTCACCACTACTAATAATAATAATGGTTGCCCCTCGCAGTGGCGGCTCGTGAAAAATAAAATGGAGGGACTGCAAGCCTCACACCGAGTCCCCACCAAACAATAAGCATGGAATTTCTGAACAGTACAAGCAGGAACAAAGAATATACACGCCAGTTTAACATGAGTGTTTATCAGAAATGTGAATGGCTCTGTGGTTGTGACGAGGCAAATACTTTATTCTGCTTTCCATGCTTATTGTTTGGTGGGGACTCGGTGTGAGGCTTGCAGTCCCTCCATTTTATTTTTCACGAGCCGCCACTGGCCCCTCGTGTAATGAGGATGGCCGTCCCAAGGGCCACCTAGGTGTGAATTGGTTAAGGTGTAGAAGCTGTCGCCAACACAACAACCACACCCTAAGTTAACGAGTTTCATGACCCAGTGTCAGGAATAGTCCGAGAAGACCGGACAACTCATCAACTGCATTGGCTAACCATTACCCTGGAACACGATCCACAATTGATTAACATCCAGGTCCCCAATTACTGCTGGGTAGACAGAGGCAAATGTTGTAAACAAACTTGCCCATAGTTTCACCCTGCCCGAGGATCGAACTCGGGTCTGTTCGCTTCCGAGGCGAGCATGCTGACCATTACACCACAGGTCGCATCACCACTACCATTAGCATCACTACCAATACCACCATTACCATTATCACCACTACCATTATCACCACTATCATTATTACTATCACCACTACCTTCATCACTACCACCACCACTATCATCATTTGGGCTCTAGTCTATGCTATGCTTTGCCCAACTAGTCTGTCTGGGATAGTGCCGAGCGTTGTTTTAGGTGAAGGTGTGTATGGTGAGAGCCTCGTTGTGGTGAAGGTGTGTATGGTGAGAGCCTCGTTGTGGTGAAGGTGTGTATGGTGAGAGCCTCGTTGTGGTGAAGGTGTGTATGGTGAGAGCCTCGTTGTGGTGAAGGTGTGTATGGTGAGAGCCTCGTTGTGGTGAAGGTGTGTATGGTGAGAGCCTTGTTGTGGTGAAGGTGCTGGAAGATAACATTTAGGTTCAGATGAAGATTAGTCCACTTCCCCCACCCACAGCTTATTTCAAATCATGTTTAAACAACTTGACCTAACCTAAGCCAACGTAACACTAACTCTAAGCTAACCTAACATTAATTTAGCTAACCTAAGCTAATACTAACCTAACACTAACATAACCTAGCATTACTGTGTTTACTAATCAGGTGAAATAAATTGGGGGTTAATCTTCAGGTGATCCTAATTTTTTTTATGATTGACCCTTATATTAGACGGTAAAATAAGAGAGCCAGTACAGTGTAGCATCTTCATCAGTTGTAGGCACAGGTTATGTGACGGTCTGCCGTGTGTATGTTTTGCCAGGTGATGTAAACTGTATACTGATGCAGGTTATGAGTACATAGATTATTTTAAGGGATTATAATGATTATCAGTATTAAGACAACTGTGTTAGTGCTTGAAGTATATTTTCGTTGTGGTTAACATTCCTGGCCGTTCTTGAAGGTCGGGTTTACTCTGGTCAGAATTCCATAATAAAACAATGATAT